GGATAACTTCTTTTTAACGCAATTTTTCGCGAAACAAAAAAACGCCAACAGAAGGCCCAGTGTTCTTCTTTTCAACAGGCTCAGTAGTTTTCCTGAAGACCCTCTCTGTTTGGAAGATATTTTAGGTGGGTCACCTTGGGCGACATTCTGAGCCACTCGAAAGCTCGACTCCTTCTGTGCCATTGTAAGGATACTCATTCGCGAACTTCAATATGCCTTGAAAACATATTCCTGATGAACTGAGTCAAAGCATAATTTGATTGTCATCGACCGATTTGGTCCGTGTGCGCCGTGCATTACGCTTCTACGCAGAGGTGGTGGAAAGGTGTAACTTCTGATTTTAGGTGATTTTTGTCCATGCAAGCAGATGTTTGTTTAGGGTTTGGAAAGGTCCACGCACGAATCTGTTTGAGATGTATTTTAGTCATTCTACAATATTGTTCATGTTAGCTCTGATAAAATTGCTATCGTTTTAATATTTTGTAGTCTTCCACACGTCCGGGCCCTCTGCAGCTTTCCGTCCGCTCCATCAAACTTAGCGATGACACTTTGTGTGCTGTTTGGAGTTCACTGACCCTGCATTTAGACCCCCACCCTTCCCAGCGGCCAAGAGCCCACCTCACGCCCTTCGAACGGGTTTCGCATAACCGATGCTAGCACGCTGCTATGGATGAAAGAGAAGCTATCGCGCGGAGAATCATCCAGATCTCACAGCCTTCTGCACCTTCAGTCCAACACAACAAATTTCCGATCACTGGAATCCTGTTGTGCCTTCCTTCGTTCGTCGGCTTTTTTTGGCCAATAACTCGTCGGATAACTTGTCAGCAGGCCCCTGCCCGTCAAATGTCTTATGTTCTGGGGCTAAGAACATTATCTCGCGAGACTCATTCATCATTCATATGGGGAGACAACCTTGTTAGCTTTTCATATTTATGATTTCAGTGAACATAGCCTGGAACATACCAATGTATAAACCTATGAATCAAAGACATGTATAAATTACCCGACGAATATGATTGGCCATAAATCAGTGGATTTACTGCATTGCCATACATGCTTGTTGTGATGAAATGGCCCCTTATTTGGTCGACATTTTGGGGAATGTCGTCGGCATCCAAACGCGCAGGCCTCTGGCAAAGGGGCATTTTTTGCCACGATTCGCCCTGATTCCTCAGTAATATTTTTATGATTGACCGGCTCACACTGTAGCTCATTTTCAGTGGGTAAGGGAAGCTCATGCTGTTGCCAAAATGTTACAGAAATTAACTATTTACGGTCCACAGGAGTCTTCGGCAGTGATTGGTGGAAACCAGCAAAACACCCCCACCAAGCCAAACTGCGCTAACGTCTTCATTTGTAGCTTACCCGTCTGAGCACTCTACTGTACTAAGCTGCAACTGGCCCTGTACAAGGTCTCTGCTCTGCGGTTTGCCACGGAGACGCCGGATCGAGGTCCACAGCGAAATTAAAACGAATTAAGAACGAGAACATTCAGCGAACAACTAAGGATCCTATTAACTAAGATATTCTGAAAAACCCGCAGTGATTTCTTGATCCATTTAAAAGGAAGAAAAGGCGGAAAATTCATATTGTTAGGCCACGCACGTCGTGAATGGCTCGTCCAGCTTTGAAAAACGTAGCGTTTCAAGATAAAAGAGAAAAACAATAATAATAATAAAGTAGTGCAGACCCAGGTCAGCCTTCCCAAAGGCTATTTCGTGCTCTAATACCATGGCACATCTAAGTTAGGAAAAATCCAGCGAGGGGATGCTAGATGGTCGCCAAGCCCAAAGGCGAAGGGTTGATATTGAGCCTAAGAGAAATTGTTTTTTTTTCCACAGTAGTCTCTATTTCTTTGTTCAACCACGCTATCTGGTCGATGTGAGGCGTGGGTTCGTGTATTGCCCCAGGAGGTCAGTATGTTGGCTAGAAAAATCCTATTGATAGTTTGATTTTTTTCGCTTCACTGGACGTTGTACGGCGGGCGAGGTCGTACTTTGGTCATTGTTGGGGAGGGGGTCGTGTTTACCTTTGGTGTTGTAAGGAATCGGTGATGAAAATGACTTTTGCTGGATTTTCTGTTTCACGCGTCTTGTTATATACCCCTCCAGCACCGCGCGACAGGCAAAATTTCTGGAAAAGTAATGGCGACGTTTTCGCGAAAAATTGTTGCGAAAAAAGTGTTGAAATGGGTGGGAAATCTGGGAACTGGTAGAAGGGGGAAAGAGGGGGTCGAACCAAACCCCCCCCGCGCAAAAAAAAAAAAGGGAGAAGCAGGTCGTACGAACTCGACCAAAATCCCCAACCAATGATGTGCCCTGGTTTGCCCGTCGTCGGGGCAGGAGGTGGTAACAGAGAAGGAAACATGATGGGGATCGTCTTTTCCAAAAGTTTCCCCAGCAGAAAGAAGTGTCTTGTCTGAAAAATATCAGCTCTGGTATCAAGCAAATTGTAACAGCTGCACGGTAGCTACATGCTAGTGGCTGAGCACGTCCTGGCCGTGGGAGAGGCTCTCTCACAATATAAGCACCTGCCCATCAATTATTTCTCGTCCTGGACACCCCGTTTGCCACTACCGTAACGCATTCAGTCTTACAACACTCAACAAACCGCCTGCCGAACTTTCTTGAAATTTCGCCGTCGAGTAGAACCTCTTCGATCAAATCATCGCAGATATTTTTTGGCGTGGCCCCCCAGGGGGTCTGGGTATATAGCGCGTCTGAACAAAATCATCAATCAAAAAATCCCCCGGTCAAAATACTACTTCCTTGCCTCCGACGACTTGATACGACTCTCCTTAGAGATTCGCGACACATAGTAGCCGATCATGGAGTTCTTAACATGAAATAAGCCTGGGTTGGGCGAAATTACATTAAAAGACAAATGGCACAATAAATGGACAAGGGTTGATACGCCTAGCGCGAAAGGATTTTATGCTCTTCAGAAGGGGCTGTGTGGCGCTTTTTCCAACCGAGGGCACCGTTACAGTACCTAGGTGCTACACGCTGACCCGGACGCCCATAGCAACCGCCCAATCAGAAATGGTCGAAAGTCACATCGACGCTAGCACTCTTATCACCTCATTCATGAGGTACAATAGCTATGAAGCGTTGCTACAGGGATATATGAATGCCTACGTGCAGCAGAATCCATCAAAGCGGTTGCTGGCGTGATGCCAACGGGAAAGTCCAAAATCCAATGTCGTATAGAACGAATTTTCGCAGGTTTCTGGCCGTTCATATCCACTTTATCCTCATTTCCCCATCGTGTAGCACCCCTGCTACAATTTTTTAGCGAACACCAAATAATCGTGCTTTATGCCTTTCAGTACATTGGGCTTGTGGATCCACGATGACATCGCCGGCTGTATAGCAAAAAATAAAATGGTAAAAAACTCATTAGCTTGCGAGTTAAGCACAGCTCGCCTCGAAGCTTGAGGGGTCGACGCGGAGCTGTGCAATCAAGGAATGGTGGGTGTTCGCCGTCACTTCTACACCCGGGTATCAGGTAGAGCTCGAAGAAAACGTTACCCTAACAGTATCAGCACCGTTGGGAGAATCTCATCCGGGGGGGGTCCTAACTGCTCCTATCTAATAGCAATTTTCCCATTTTCCCCCCCCCCCCTCCCCTCTCCATAATTGGCGGCGCCATCAGGGTCTTTTACAAGTTTTATTTCCGAATAGTTGGAATTAGGATGTTCCATGAAAATGTTGAGGAAAAATTCGGTCAATATGCCGGGAATTTGGAAATATCGAGGAAGATGGTAGGTATGGTAGGTAGGATAGGGAAGGGAGTCGTACCGCAAAAAAGAAATTTTCGGCGGTGAGAGAATCTCTGGCATTGCCATTTTTCTCAACCCGATTCTGTACCCGATAAGTGGCGTATTTCGACTCGGTGGGGGCGCCAGGTGGTACCAGCCAAACACGCACAGGTCTGGGCGAGAGATCATAATACTCTTGCAACCAGGGTGGCTGGCATGTTCCATTTCGCAACTTCACAAGGGTTTCAAGTCTCCCTAGAATAAGACCTGCCAGCAAAACAGTTAGCAAAAGAAACCATCGAAAGTGCAAAATACCCTCCCAAACAAAACAGCACCGTCAGTAATAACATTTTCGCTGCTTAGCCGAACAGCTGGGCTTATAGCTGGTGAAATATGAAAGATAAAAAAACTAACAAAAATCAAGAACGACTTTTTTGTCGCTGCAAAATACGAATCCTACCTGCTGCTCGAAGTCACCTGCCTTCCTCTTCAGTTCATATTACAAATCGCTCATAACGTGCTTGCCACCGCGATAATGCAAAGCTAAAAAACGCATGATAAAAAATGCGGCAGGGATGAGCGACGACAGCCGTCACTGACACCTGATGGGTGACGTAGTGACTGCTATACGACTACTTGTTCTCGAAGTTGGTCGGTCTTTTCTCATACTCATCCATTCAGACCTCTAAGGCAGCCACGAGCTGCTGGACCATTGTGGTCTGACTCGCACTAATTGAAACCATTACCATTTTTTGGGTTCGAAATTAATTTAATTCATTTTGGATAAAATCCTTAAATATTTTTTACGCCAAAACGTTAACGAAAACGCGGTTGTATGACGCTTACAAATCATTCCAAGGTTTTCCAATACGAATTCCGGTGCTGTTCAGCTTGAGGGTGGGAGGGGGTTGGGGTAAGAAGAGGAAGAAACATTCCAAGCCGTTTCGGTCAGAGGAATTTACAGGTCTTCGCTAGGCGCTATACAAGCATGAGCACAATTTAGCGCCCCCACCAAACCGAACTAAGCCTAGGTTTTTTCATAAAAAATATCCTAGAAGTTCGAACGTACTAAGCTGAGGATTTTGTGCTATTAATTTTCTCATTTATAATTTTTTTGTAATTCTAACTTGTTCATATTATTTTATATTATTCTAATTGAAATGATTTTTTGCATTTTTTCGAGCTGCGTTTTCCAGGTGATTCTGATGTTGAATGCACATTTGGTTGATAATATTTCTGACTGGCGGAGTATCTACTCGTCCAGTGTTCCTGCTATCGCAGGCTGTTAATAGCTCAGAACTTCACGGACAGTGAAATCGTCAACGATGTGGAAAACAGTACGGTGGTAAGTACTTGTGCCTCTCGCTTCGAATGCAGGGAACTTTCTGTGATAGAAGGACGGACGGAGATTCACAGTTATTGCGCCTTCTCATTGGTGCACCCCTGATTCTGCTGCTTGAAAGAGGTGGGGTTTGTGGAACCTATCAGGTTGAGTCCCTGCCCCTTCACTTATCGCAGAATGTGTCCCCGTAAACCACATTATTGTATCCAAATTCAAAATTTATTGAGAAATATAGCCAACAGAAACGAGTAACCTGAGTCCTTTCAGAAGCTCATCGATCCTTCGATATTTATAACGGTTCGATTAGATGATTGGCGTGATGAACATAACAATAAGGCGATTATGTGGTCACGTGAATCGAAATATCATCCGGATTTTGGCAAGCAATATTCCAAAACAGCATTCCAAAGGTAATGACCTAATCGCCAGAAGCTTCTTATGTATCTCACTCAAGGGCAATACGGAATTACCACGGCGACGATTTCCAAGGGATAATAATTATCAATATCTTTGACAGGCCATGCTTGCCATAGGGAAGGACGTTTCTACAGCCTATGCTGCCCCACTCGATGGCAGAATCTTGGAAAAAGTTTGGCAGAATAGCAGGTGGGATGAGAAGGGAGTGTCAAACCTAGGGGGAAATTTGGGGGAAGGGGTCAAATTTTACCGAAAATTTCCACAATATGACGACGTGCCCTGTATGTAGATACTAATGATTTCCCATGAATAAAACTGACAATACCATATCGTTTAAGGACACAAGCGAGTTCACGTCGATTCTCGATTATCATTCTGGGAATAGCCATTATTTTCGTTATTTATATCTATTTCTACAACGTGGCACAGGAACGAAAACTGCAGCGACACTCCAAACTTCTTCGAGCGCAAACCGAATTCACTCGAAGGTACAGTCATTTCATTTTATGGCGCTGATCCAAGCACGTTGCGTCTCTGCGATGCGTAACTGTCGCAAAACTGTCTACTTGACTCAAACAATCTTTCCCCATGCAGTGTTTTGCTTCTTATCTGTAGCCTCGATGTACATTCCCCGGATAAGTTACCCTACTCTCTGGGCAGTAAGGTACTCCCATGTAGAGACGGGTGCAAAAAAGCCTGAGAGATCAGCTGTAAAGCTCAGTAAATTAGCGCGCGTCTTCGCCTGCACGTCTGCGACCTTGGCAATGTGGTCCTGTTAGCCGCAGATGATGGGGCGTGTCAATTCAGGATGGGTTTGGCGCGGCGCCAGCTGGTTTTTTTCCTTCGCCAGCGACAAGACTGTATCACATCGTTCCTATTAGTTGTTTTCCGCCAGTTCTTGTCGCTTAATTACTTAAACAGCTGTTGGAGAAAAAAGCAAAAAAGCCAAACCTGGCTGTACTGACACGCCCCATCATCCGCAGCGGAAAAGACTGTAAACGCGCTTTATACCTCATGAATAGAGCACACTATGTGGCTGTGACACTTCAGTGGAGACTGTTATCTCACAACTATTCACAACAAGGTCAAATTCAACACTTCTTGCCCCTTCACATGATAGTATGGAACACTTCCTTTGTTACAGTTCTCACGACAGAGGCAGCTTGGCGACGGGGGAAGGGGGGGGGGTGACATTTTGCACGTCCAGAGTCTTTTGTCGAGTTGGCAGGTTTTACCATG